CCCTGTAGCCCCAGCTGGCCTGAAACTCACTATGTAGACCAGGCTGACCTTGAACTCACAGGGATCTGCCTGCCTCTGCCTCCTGGGTGCTGGGTCTAAAGACATGCACCACCATGCCATGCCCAGCTGAGTAGTTTATTTTTAAATATTGTTTATTTGTTCTGTTAAAATTTTATACATGTGTGCAATGTAGTTTGATACCCAGCCCCACGAACTCCTCCCAACTCCCCACAGGAAACCCCTGCCCCTCTCCCTCCCAACTTCATGTCTTCTTTTTCTTATTATTATTAATAAGTCCCTGAGTCCAATTAGTGTTGCCCATATGCATATGGGTATAGGGCCGTTCACTGGGACATGGGCAACTTACCAGTGACCACATTCCCAAAAAAAATGGTGCTCCCTTCCTCAGCAGCCATTGGCAGCCGAAAGCTCCTCTGCTGGGGGTAGGGGATCAGGAGCCCCACCCCTATCAATGCTGGAAATCTGACTGGCTTGATCCTATGCAGGTCTTGAGCAGGCAGCCATAGCTGCTATGAGTTGATAGGGGCAAAAGCCGTGTTATGTCCGGAAGACATATCATAACTCTCCTCCCCATCCTGCTGCTCTTATATTCCTTCTGCCTCCTCTTCCATAGTGTTCCTTGAGCTTTAGATTGGGGGAGGTTAAGATAGTGGTCCCATCTATGACTTAGGAGTCAAATTGTATATTCTCAGCACTTGGAACATTTTGGATCTCTGCATTAACCACTATGCACTACAAAATAAAATTTCTCTGACCAAGGTTGACAGTATCACCATTTAGCCAAACAAGAGTAGGTTTCTCCCAAGGACCCGTGTATCCTGCATGCTATAATACTGAACTGCCAGGCAAGTCATGCCCACTTGTGCAGTAGTGGCATGATGGTGATGAAGGTAACCAACCATTTTCTGATTGGATTTGAGGCCTGTTGCACAGAAGTGATTGCATCTTTAGGACTGTAAAACTGATTTTAAAAAATTATTAATTACATTTATGTGTGTTTGTAAATGCATGCATGTGCATGCCACAGCACACATGTGGAGGTCAGAAGACAAACTAGTTCTCTCCTTCCACCATATGGGTCCTAGGTATCAAACTCAGGTCATCAGACTTGGTGGTAAGCGCCTTTATACACTGAGCCATCTCACTGACCCATATACCAGCTTTTAAAGAAATGCCATCTCACTGGCCCCTGTACCAGCTTTTAAAGAAATGAGTTATGCAGTAATAATGCAAACTATATCTGATTTTTAATCTCTAATTCAAAAGCTACTTTTGAACACCAGATCATCGTCATGAAAATCTGTTACTATTTTAAATTTTATTTTTATTTTATGTGTTTGAGTAGTTAAGTGCACCCGTCACCTGAAATGTCTGCTTAGGTCAGAAGAGGGTGTCAAATGCCCTGGAACTGGAGTTACAGATGGTTGTTAGCCACATGCAGGTGCTGGGAACTGAACCTGGGTCCTCTGCAAGAGCAGCCAGTGCTCTTAACTGCTGAGCCATCACACCAGTCCTGATGGTATTTTAAAATACTTTAAATAAGGATATAAAAGACTGAATTGAGTTTTTAATTGAATATATCCTGAAATTGTTGGAGTTTTTTCTCATTCTGTTATGGAAAAGATGCAAGGGGAAATTGGTTGTTTGAATTTTGGATAACTATATCTCAGAACATATTTCTGTCTGCTATATATAAATTAACAAATATTTTCCAAGTTTTCAGTTTTATTTTCCCCTTGATCTTTTCTCTTGTTTTCTTAAAGTATAACTCCAATTAAAAATCTGTGAGCTTAAATACAGACTATAATCAAGGTCCTTGCCTTTTGATTCCTTAATATTCATTACCTATTGTGAACTAGTGATACCTAGTTACCATATTTATTTATTAATAGACAACTAATCTAATTAATCTAATTATTGTTACCTGTTAAGTTTGAAATGTGAAAATTAGTGTCTATTCATCAGTTTAAAAACATACTTTAAAAGATTTTGATTTTATATATGTAATTTATTTGCATGCATAAGAACAGTGTGAATTTGAATCCTCAGAATTACTTATGTATGTATGAAGTAGCTCCTAACTGCTTTTAGCAATTATATCACATACTGCATTTTGTTTCATGAAACAGTTTTTTGTTCTTTGGTTTTTGTTTTGTTTTCTGCAGTGCTAGAGATTGAATCCAGGGCCTCATATGTGCAAAACAAGTGCTCTACTACTGAGGTATATCTTCAGCCCTTAAAAGTTCTCATATACGTAATATTCTCCCTCTCCCCTCCCTCTCTGTTTTGTAATACTAAGGATTGAACCTAGACCACAAATGATTGCCAAGCATTCTGCAGTATTTCCAGTCCCACAGTACAGTTTGGATGACTGTTTGTTTAGAATATTTAAAAGAACACATTTACAATTTTTAAGATTTTCTAACTGAGGTTATGCTGTAAAATATGTCAGTTTTCATTTCACAACTGAGGAGATTCAGAGTTGATGACGTTGGTATAAATAATGAAATTGGGACCTCAGATCAGTTTCCTAGTTACAGCTATTTTATCTTCTTTGTTACTTTTTATTAAACCTGAGTATGGAATTATCTTAGTTCTCACTCAGGCATTTATCTAGATGAGCCTTCTACCACTGAGCTGCATCTCCAGCCCTAAAATATAACTGTCCTACAGCCTGAGTAGTGTACTCTGTGAATACATAAAGATACTTTACCTTTAAGAAATTCCCTGTCTGGCAGAAGTAGTAAACACATACATCAAAAAAATGTAATCTTGAGTGTAAGCACTGTCTAAGAGTTGTTGGCAAATCAGCACTTTATGGCTATGAGGACACAGAAATGGAGGCCTAACCTCTTTCCTCGTAAGTTTCTGAGTTCCTAAATTGACTCTTTAAAGATAAGTGAAATATTAGCAAAGCAAAGGAGGGGGGAGAAAAGACTTTCAAAGAGAATCAACAATGTGTATTAACCATTTGAGATTACTGTTTTTATAGACCAAGACAGTTGAATTTTTCCTCTGGTTCAGATTGATGGGAGGGTAGCAATGATATGATAGACATGGAGTACATTACTAGTAGTGTTTTCATATGGTTGTAGGATAAAGTATTTTGGAAGAATAGAGTCAGAAACAGTCTGGCCAGTGACCTGATTATGAAAGATTATGCATTTTTAAAAAATATTTTATTTATGTGTATGAGTGCATTGCCTGCATGTATACAAGTGCACCCATGTCGTGCTGTGCCCACAGAGATCAGAAGAGAGCGTCAGATTCCCCTGGAACTGGAGTTAGAGATGGTTGTAGCTGCCATGTGGGTGCAGGGAATTAAGCCCAGGTCCTCTGCAAGGGCAGTCAGTGCTCTTAACCGCTGAGCCACCTCTCCAGCCCCACATTATGTATTCTTAATAAAAAATAAATATCCTGTCTGTTTTCTGTTATAGAATTTAATGAAAGAAACTTAAGATATCAGTGCCAAATTCAAACTGATAAGGCAGGAAGTCGAGAAGACTTGGATATATGTTTTGGATTATTCATAACATGGTTTCTCATCAATAATGTCATTAATGAGCTGCAATTAGTGGTCCTGACCTAGTGGTTGCAGTATTGCATAGAAATGAGTTTTCTAAATGATATCTTTTAAAGCAAAACTCTCGAATTTTATCTTTCATACTTTGATTACTATTCACTTATTCTTAAATGAAATACCTAAACGTAGTGTAACCTTGTATTATTTAAGGTTATCACAAGCATCAAGTTTCATACTGTGCTTAGCACACTGTTGCAGTCATTGTTGTTGGGGGTATGGAGAATTATTTGAACTTGAGATTGCTCTGATTTTATGTTTCTGTCATTGATCACTTAGGCTTAAATATGGCTAATCTGCTAAAGTATTTTACATTCAGCTTTCTGGTTAAGAGACAGGGTAGAAGCTAGGTATGATGACACAATAATCCAGCATTCAGGGACTGAAGCTGGAGGATTGCTATGAGTTAGATTCCAGCCTGGGCTACAAAGTAATGCCCCATCTCAGTAAGGAGGTGTGTGTGAATTATGTGCCTGTGGCATTTATGGCTGTTCGTTCAATCTTCTCATTTATTAGTACTTTGGGGTTCATGGGTGAAATCTGCATGGTTAGAATTAATGTAAATTGTACTGAGCAGAAACATTTGTAGATGAGCTTCTTAATATTATCAGTTTATGAAAGTCATTGTATTTCTAATTAGTAATGATGACTAATTTCTGTTTTTTACATTTGGAAGTGATCCAAAGGAATCAGTTGGAGTTGCTTGCTCAATTTGAAAGTTTTATATGGACCTTTGGGAATTAATGCCTCCCAAACAAAGGCTGAAGTACCCACACTGTTGTAAGGAATAAGACCGATCACCACTGACTTAACATTTAAATTTGGGTATATAAGTTGCCAGGCTCAAAGGCAACAAATCCATTTAGCAGTCCATCCATTGTCATTGGTTCTGGTGCCCAGCACAGTGCCTAGGAATAAATGCCATGATTCTTGAACTATTGTCATTTTCCCTGTGGGGCCTTTCTTAGTTTCTAAACTCGAAATTTACTTAATTGAACTTTCAGTATGAATTTCTGTTTTAGGTGAATGGAATCAGTGAAAATTAATCCTGAGTGGTGACATTTTCAATTTTTAATATTCAAAAGAGCATATAACATGTAAAATAAAAATACCATCACTGGGTAGTCTATAACATATAATAAGTAATATTAAAATACTGATAGACTACCCAGGCATGGTGTAAATCTTTGGTCAAGTTTTAACTAAATTGTAGTTTTGAATAAATGCTAAAGTATAACTGATGTGTACTGATTAGACATTTAAGCAGCATACTTTTCTTATTCATTAATGTTCTGCCAAAGATGTCCAATTCTCATTTCTTAATCCTTACTTGTTTTAAACAGTAAAAAAATATGTTTAGTCTAATGCTGGTAAGGTATTTGCATTGTTTCTTCTTCAGAGTGAAGTCACCCTGCTGAGAAATGAAGTGGCACAGCTGAAACAGCTTCTTCTGGCTCATAAAGATTGCCCTGTAACCGCCATGCAGAAGAAATCCGGCTATCATAGTGAGTAATGTTCCATTACCTGCAGCCGTAGGCTATATCCGTGAAATACTGCCATAGTGAGCAGAGCTACCATAAAAGAATAGACCACCATTCTAGTATGTGAGAGTCAATATCAGAATTTCTGCAAGATTATTATAGAATGGGGTGGGAGGTATACTTTTAAGAACCTAAAGACTTATGAGATGGGGCAGTACTTTAGAGAGAGGTTTTTAATTTCTAGCTTTTTTTCTAGGAATTAATATGGATCACAAGATAAGTTAGCTAAATTTTTTTTAATGTACTGTTTAATATCAATGATAATTATCTTCACAAGATAGCACTTTTGTTTTAGATAGGCAGAGCCAAACAGTATTTCCTGTTCAGCCCCCGTTCAGTAGTGATGAGATTTTTTTTAAAGCAGCTATCTTCATTCAGCAGTATATTGTCTCTTTATTATATCATATCCTGTTCTTTTTTTGATAATGTCAGCATAGGACAATATTTACATTATTACAAACCTTTATGTGGCGCTGTCATATTAGCCAAAAAAAATGCTAAAACACACTGGGCATGATAGCACACGCCTTTAATCCCAGCACTGAGAGGCAGAGGCAGGCGGATCTCTGTGAGTTCAAGGCCAGCCTGGTCTACATAGTGAGTTCCAGGGCAGCTGGGGCTACAGGGAGACCCTGTCTCAAAAAAACCAAAAAAAAAAAAAGCTAAAACAAAATAGTATTGAAATTACACGATGATAAATTTTCCTCTAAACGTTCCTCCTAAAAGGAGATTCTTCCATTTTTAACTTTTTAGAGATTAATTGGGCTTTTTCCTTTTCTCATGTCCTTTTTTGACAAGAGGCACAACTTTGGAACCAGCTGTTACTCTTGAGTAAATGGCCAGTTTTGTCTATCACACACATATTTGTAACAAATAACAGAGTTGGGAATGCATTCAGCAATATCCATAATATATAACCCCAGCTCTGCTTTTTATGATTTAGTGAGATTGTTGTAACCATATGTATCCACTTCATTTTAATTTGCCAGTGTCAGTAATTCAAAGGAAACATTTTGTATTGGATGTAAACAGTTCCTCAGGTACTTACAATAAAACTTAATGGCTACCATCTTTACTTATAAAGTCAGTTGTAAGCAGCTTCATCAAAATAAGCAATAGTTTTAAATTTAAATGATTTAGTATATTTAGCAGCTCTCAGTTGCCATATATATTTATTTTAGAAAACTAATTTTTGTCAGTTTTGAGCATATAAATCTGTTATTTGTTATCTAGTTATTTTGACAGGACATTGAAACACATTGTGGAGTAAGCTGAAACCACATAGAAATCTGTTGGGAACTCTTTCAACAATGATTGCTGCAGGGATGAAGTCATCATGGTTCCCAAATGACATAACAGCATCATTTCCTGCAGATGCTGCTGGGCTCAGCATTATGCATACATGTCTTTCTTCAACAAGAAAGCTGCCTTAAATTTTGATAGTTTAATTAAAATTTATTTATTTTTATCTTATATGTATGAGTGTTTTGCCTTCATGTTTGTAAGTACACCATGTGTGTGCAATGCCCACAGAAGGTAGAAGAGGCATCAGATCTCCTGGAATTGGAATTACAGACAGTTGTTTACTGGGAACTGAAACCCACTGTAAGAGCAACCAGTGCTCTTCACTGCTGAGCTCTCTCCAGCTCCAAATTCTGATAATTTACAAGGAAGTATATAAATGATCTTATAAAGTTAGAGGGAAATTAACTTACGTTGCATTTAATTAAAAATTGTTGCTAGGCGTGGTGGTGCACACCTTTAATCCCAGCACTTGGGAGGCAAAGGCAGGCCGGTCTCTGTGAGTTCGAGGCCATCCTGGTCTACATAGCAAGTTCCAGGTCAGCTGGGGCTACAGGGAGACCCTGCTTCAAAAAGACCAAAAAATAAAAAAATAATAAAAATTGTCTACCATTTTAAAATCTTTGCTCACTGATCAGTGAATTGTTGGTATTACCTGTTGTGCAGGCAATATATGCTCAACAAAAGCAAGCCAATTATTTAACAATTTTTTTACATAATTTTAAGCATACAGATGTATTGGTTTATCTTTTGTTAAATAAAATGACTAAAAACATACATGAATAGATTTTTAAGTAAATAATTTTTGACTAGCTTGTGAGAATGCAAGAAATGGAGAGTTTTGTTTGGAAATTACTTATATTTGATACTATCTAGTCATTTAGGAAATCAAGTTAATTAAAATTATAAAATTCCATTTTAAAATCTGAATCTTTGAAATAAGTCTGGCTTCTGTAACTGTCAGGGTAACAGTAGATATTAGGTATATATAATTTTTTTTTTAGAGAGATTCACAAGTTTCATATTCTTTGTAACACACAAAACAATAATGTTGGCGAGCTGCACTGCTAGCTGAATCTTTCAAAACATGAAAGTTAAGATTTAATAGAATTTAAAGTTATTACAAAAACCTGAAACTTAAAAGTAACCATACTAAGTCAGTCCTAAGGTGTCAGTTGAATATTGTCAAACCCAGTTTCAACACTGAAGGTTCTATATAACACCTTAGGAATTCCCTTAGTTATGGGAAAACTCAGGGTTGACCACCCTGAATGTTAAATAATATGAATCATAATGAATATTTAATACTTAGGTTTCATGAAAAATAAACCACAAAGCAATCTTACTACAAATTCATATTCTACAGATTAAGGAATACATAATTAAAATCATATTATTGTACTTATAGTTGTAAATGGAAGGAAAACTTCTTGAGCCTTCATTTTCACTAAATTTCATTATAGAACATATGTTTGAACATAGGTAAGGTACTTAGAATTCCGTGCTGGCAAGAAGGCTGAACAGGTAAAAGCATTGGCTTCATCAGCCTGATAACTTGTCTAGTCCCATAGCACATTAAAACGCTGGATTCGGGGCTGGAGAAATGGCTCAGTGGTTAAGAGCACTGTCTGCTCTTGCAAAGGACCTGGGTTCGATTCCCAGCACCCACATGGTGGCTAACAACCATCTGTAACTCCAGTTCTAGGGAAATCTGACGCCTCCTTCTGACCTCTGCGGGCATTGCACGACACGGGTGCACTTACACACATGCAGGCAATACACTCATACACATAGAATAAAAATAATAAATAAAATAAAAAAGCTTGATGCAGTTGTTGAGCATCTGTAATCCTCGCACTCCTGAAGCTAGGTGGGAGGCAGAGCCAGAACTGCCTTGAAAGCTCACGGGCCAGCCACCCTGGAATAGGCAGCATGACAGAAACAAGAGACACCTGCTGCATAAGTCGGAAGGAGAGAACCAACTCCTGAAAGTTGCTCTCTGGCTTACACACAATGCATGCCTGCACTCATATGCATATTGGGGCAGGGGAGAAATACAGACTCTTCTAACATTGGGTGTGCTTTGAGCTAAAAGTGGTTCTCAAAGTGGAGCATAGTATATCTTTCTAGTGCTTGTGATTATTCTGATCATTTTCTCCCTTTGCCTACTAGACATAGGTGCATATGTATCACATTACAAAGATATCTTACAAATACATAATTGCCTAATTTATGAATGATTTACTGATTCTTCATACTGCTTAAAGTTTTATTTTATCCTGTTCTAAACATCTGTAGATATGCATTCTTTAACTGTTTCATTTTGTGCCGTTCTCTCTTTTATATAGTTATATAGCCCTGCATTAATTACTACCAGTTAGCCTCTTTGTTTTTGAAAGCTGATTTCCCTAGAATTTAACATTCAGAGAAAGGTCATCTTGTTGTTCTGCTGTGAGTAATAGTGAAATAAACAAAGACAACTTCTTAATACTCTCATTTGAACTGCCTTTGCTAGTGCTTTCTTTAAACATGTGACTGTTCTAGACTAAGCACTTCAATAATAAGTAGTTTACAATATTGGTTATTGAAGTTTTTTTTTCCACCATATACTTCTAAAGGTTTCTGATTGAGATTTTTTAAAATTTTATTTTGAGGCCAAGTTTGATTCAGGGATACAATTTTGTACTTAGAGCACATTATGGAGAAGATTCAATTTCACTTCACTGATATCTGTTAAAACCTGCTTTTCAGAAATGCATGAATTTGAGGCTGGTATGCAATATTCTGCAAGAACTACTGTCTTTCAGAAGAGTTCTCAAAATGAGGAATTTTATTTGTGCTCAAGAAATATTTGCCAAATATTTCTCCCTCCACAGACACCCCTTGTCCACTGTCTACATTATGTATCATAGGGTACTCTCTCCCTGATGGCTACTGGCCTCAAGCCCTCAGTCAGCAGGCCAGTCTTCATTCTCAGCTTTAATAGATAGCCTTCATAATTTCTGAACACTAACTAAAAATTATTTTTAATGTCAATTGAAAACAATTCACATATAACAGCACCTACCTATAATCCCAGCACCTAGGAGACTAGGCAGGATTGCCATCCTGGGCTACATAGTGAAACTCTCAAAAACCTAAAAGATGAAAGGAGGAAAAAAAATAGTACACCTGATGTGATACTATTTTTACAATGTTTGTAAGCAAAACTAAGCTGTATCATTTAAGCATTGTATGCCAATATGATGTATCTACAAAGAGAACACAAAGCAGGTTAAAGAAATTTCAGAGGAGTGGCTACATGTGACAAAAGAAAGCACAGCGTTGGCAATGTTCTCAATGAATTTGAAGGCTGGGATCACAGGTATGTGTGTTATTACTGTGCCTGTAATACACAGATACTATAAATACTTGTGTGTGTTGAATATATCAAATGTTTCACTGAATAAAATCACTAGATTCTCTTCTGCTAAAATAAAGATGAAGTAAGAGATGTGTTCAGGCTTAAATATTGTAGATTTGTTTTCAGAAATATTTAGCATGCCCTTTGCTGAATATCTCAATTTCAGTGTCTATAGAGTTTTGTGTGGATTTTTATTTTAATCCCAATTCATGCAGCTCTAACAGCTGGTGGCGTTTAGACTCTTAATATTGCTTACTCTCCTGTGTATGTGTCATTAGACTCAGGTGTTGTAATCATCCGTGACTGCAGTAGATTGAAAGTCAGCTAGAAAAAAAAATTGCAATTCTGAGAGGCACAGAGAGAATAATTAAAAATAAAATTTGTGTGTAAGATTCATTTTGTTTATGCATATGGTTATAATTTTTTAAGCTTTTATTAAGAGTGACATGTAGGCAAACAGACTAGTTTTGTTGCTTGTTAAGTATTTGGTTGTGTCTATGAATGGCTCTCTCCCAAACACCTACCCCACTTATTTTGTTGTAGTTATTTTGAGACAGGGTCTTATTGTTTAGCTCAGGTAGACCTGGAACTCAATCTGAAGCCTGAATTGTCCTCAAACTTGCATTCCTCCTGCCTCTTCCTCCAAAGAGTCCTGAAATTATACATGTGCACCACCACACCTGGCCCCACCTTGTTTCCTTTATAGCTATTTAGCAACTATTTCTTGAGGTCTACTGTGTGACTGTAGGTATCCTGATGTTCTCATGACAACCTTCTTGTTCCTTCATTTGGCCAATTGCAGGTAAACTTGTCTACTTTGTGACTTGTACCCAACTTTTCAGTTAGTTCCAATTATACAACTTCTCTTGAGTAATCAGTTTTGTAGAATACCTTCTAACTTCTTACTCTTTGTATTGACTCAACTTAATGACACTTTTTTACTGATAGTTTAAGAAAATTAGTAATTTTTCTCTTTTCCACTCAGCTGCTGATAAAGATGATAGTTCAGAAGACCTTTCGGTGCCCAGTAGTCCACACACAGAAGCTATCCAACATAGTTCTGTCAGCACATCCAATGGAGTCAGTTCAACATCAAAGGCAGAAGCTGTAGCCACTTCAGTCCTCACCCAGATGGCAGACCAGAGTACGGAGCCAGCGCTTTCACAGATTGCCATGCCTCCTTCCTCCCAGTCACAGCCCTCAGGAAGTTGATTAAAAACTCGAAGTACAACAGTTTTAGATACTCATTAGTGACTTCAAAGGGAAATCAAAGAAAGACCAGTTTCCATTTATGAGAAATCTGTGGTTGTAATTTTTTATTTTACTTGAAGTTAAATTTTTCTCTAGAGTTGGTATAGCAGCAATTGATGATCAGACTGAACAAGCTTTTAGTCTCTGGAAAAAGACTAATTTTGCTTTTTTTATAAATACTGTTAGATTTATTAATTTTTCTGTGCTCAGTGTGTAAATGTATCATAATTCACTGTGGTTTATTTCACTTTGATTTAGTGGTGTTTTAATAAATGGGAGTGTTAACTGAATCACTCTTTCTACTTCCATTTCTTTTGCCCACACCTTCACCCTGAGTGATGGTAGTCTTGTTTATCATTTATACCAAAGTTCTGCATAGTCCCTATTGACTTTGTAATGTCAGCAGAGTCTAAAGCACTAGGGAAGAGAAAGACAAATTTCCTTTTACTCTTTTTGCCTTTTATTTTGCACATTATGCAAAAGGATGAATAATAGAAAACACTTTTTTTTAAGTGAATGAAGACATGGTAAGACAAGAGAATGCTTTTATGCACATTCTTAACCTAGCAAGGGTTATTCACAGCTCTGCAATGTTTTTAAGATTTTAAGTAGGCAAAAATTTTGGAATCTTGAGCATTTCAAAAATGACTTTATTTTTTAAGTCTTAAATTCAGTATTTTAAACCTGTGTTTTGAGGCTGAAAACTATGAAATTATATAATGTATGATACAGGGTTATCAGATGTCTAGTAATTTTTTAATTAGCTCTTGTTATTTGAGGATTCTGGTTTTTTGTTCTTGTTGGGTTTATTTTTGTTTTTTTTTGTTTGCAGATTTCAGGTAACAAAGTGAGAAGTTTATGCATAATCAAGTATGGTGTGGTTGCCAGAAAAGCCTAAAATTACTACTTAGAAATTTTAAGACTGTTTTCCCCATTGTTGTACTTGTACTTGCGAGCTATCTTGTACTTATTCTTGTGAAAGCACTGTCATCTTTTAGTAGCCAATTTTGATAATGTTTCTTGTGGAAAAAAAAATCAGTATCTATCTTTAGAACAATGTAATTATAATGTGGGAAATATGAGTGAGTGAGAGAGTGAGTGTATGTGTGCACCTTTCAATAGTTTATGCCAGCAATCTTTGCTTGAATGTTTAATGATGCCTTCGGTGTGATGCTGGCCCAATAGATGACTGCAGTTTCAAATGTCCTTACTGTGCAGGCTTGGATAACTAACATTCCATGATGTAGCTTGTTCTGATGAGATGATTGTAAGTACACTTTTCTCACTATCCAGTCATCTGTGGAATACTGAGTTTTCTAATGTGCCATTATCTATTTTTATTCTGCAGTTATGTTCAAAATACAGTACAATATTTTAAATAGGCTAAATTGTTAAACATAAAAATAAAAATGTAGTAGATGTGTGTAAGAAAACTTTGTAAAATAGTTATGAGTCCTACCCAGTAGCAACTTCTGGCATTCAAGCAGGATTCCATTATGTAAATACCTGTAATACATTTATAATAAGTTGTGTGGTCTGTTCTGCATCCATACTACACTATTTGCTATGGTCTCAGTGCCATCTCCTAATGAGACTAACATTTTACAAGCCTGTTTGGAATATCCTTGATAATTGAAAGGAATATCCCACCTGCCTAAGTTCCAAACTGGTAAACATGCAAATCATATGAATGACATTTCAGGACTTTTACGTATGAAGATAATAGGAATTTTATTATTTGGCTTATTAAAAATGAGGGTATTTTAGTTGATTCTACTGTTTTTGTTTTTTTTTTACTGATTTCATATTTTAAATGATCAATTTTATCATGATTTTATCATAGTTATGCTAAGGAGTCAATCTCAAAGGCACAAAATTATGAATTCTGGCAAAAAAAACTTTTTTTTTATTGTAGTTTGGATGGGTTAGGGAAAGCCTCAATTTTTCAGTCACCTAAGTCCCTTCCATGCATTTTACTTTCATCTTATTTATGCAGGTTAAAGTTCTTTGGTAACAATTCTTGCAGCTGTAAAATAAAAGTACATAGATGTAAGAAGTCATGTAAACGGTTAATGAACTTACAAGGTTAGCAAAACTTTCATTGTAAATCAATCTGTACTCAGCAAATAAAAATCATTATTAGTTGTATAAACACAAAAAAATTCCATTTTGACTTCCAGATGTCACACTACTTCTGTACCTAGCATTTTGAGTCCTTATATTTGCAATGTTACACAAACTGTACTATTTTCTTTTATGTACAGTTTGCATGAGTAAACCATCAGAGAATAAATTCTATCTTTAAATTATGTTTATAATTTGCTTGTTTTTATCTTTCTTTCACAAAGTAGTATTACCTGATAGTTTTTCCCCTTCAGGACATTTATTATTACCTGAGAAGAGCCCAAGATTCTTCTGTTTCTGTAAGCACAGTTCATTCTCTCTCGAAGGCCCCATAACTGCAGTGTGTTCAGGCATCGTGCTCTGCATTCATATGCACCAACCTTTAATTTTATGTCTCCCACCACACCCAGACCTCAGCCACCATATACACACCTGCTGCTACCTGAGAAAACATCTTAACCTATATCCAGCACTGGGCTTCCCTTATCTGCTCTCTCCTATGGACTCCTCTCGGGCTTTCATCAGTTGGTGGCTTAAGCCAAGACAACTTTGCCACCCTTGATTCTTCTCTCTCACAGCCCACATCTGACCCATGAGGAAATGCTATTTACCCTCAGCATAGTCTAGAATATTCAGCCCCTTGTCACTGTTTACACTGTTTTACCCTAATCCGTGCCCTCATCCTCTCAGATTACTATCTTTGCCTTACACATGTCTGTTGGCCTCCATCCCTACCCATATAACTCACCCCTGTATAGGAGCCAGGGTGGTGATCTCAAAAATCTGTCAGTTCACAGCCCTCCAGTATCCTGAATTAGAATGGTTCCCCTTTTCACTCAGCTCAAATCCTAACAGCCTACAGTCTCTATACTATCTATTCCCTGTCACATCCCATTATGTCCCTGACCTCATTTCCTACAAGGTTTTAGTTGGTAAATATCTAGTGCTACTAGATGTGAGATGGTGTTCTGGGTGTTCTTAAAATAGCCCAGTGTCCCAAACCAAGTCTTTGCCTTCCTGGAGCTTGCATTCTAAAGAAGGTGCAGGAACTTTGTGGAAAACCAATGAGTAAGTTATAAGAGGTAAGTACTAAGAGAAAACTTAGGCCAGTTTTTCTGGAGAACATGTGGCGTGGCACTTCAATAATGCCTGTCAGATTGAACTAGTTCAAGGAAATGCAACAAATTGTTTAGCTGTTTTCAATCTACTCGTTCTACAGTGTGCTTAAGGTAGCATGGTATTAGATAACAGGCTTCATGAAGACAAGATGTTCAACCATGCCTTGTTTTGTTGTACTGTACATATACTGCATGTTTTTCAAATGCAGGGTTATGCCGTCTGCTTGAGCAAGTACTGATCACCACTTTTCAGCAATATGTGCTGAAGGTTAGCATTTTTAGCAATGAAATATTTTAATACATACATATTAGAAAACATGCTTTCTTAATGCTTTTAATAAAAGATTTAAAAAATATGCTTTTGCATGTTAACAGGCTATTATGTGGCATAAATGTAACTTTTTCATATGCAAGGGGAAATCCAAAACATTGTACTCTTGCAGTGGTCTGTAAACAAACCCACAGTATCTCCAAGATGTGCTTGCATTTCTGTAACAAACTTAGCAAATGAGGGATATATTAAACCTCAAATTCATGTTTCCTTAACTTACTCCTGGGGATAGGAAAGATAATAGCGCTAAATGTAGTTTTGCCAGGTCTGCATCTATAAAACTTAGTTTGGTACTTGGTACTTTGTGGAAATATGAGAAATTCCCCTTTCTTCCTAGGACATCAGCTTAGGTAGATCTATACATGTGAAAACAATCTAACATGTCTAGATTATTGACTACAATTTTGAGACAAAGTTATACCATTTTGTAGCTGATATAGTTATGAAAATATTTCTTCAATTACAAAGGAACTAACTCATATTCTTGCTTATTTGTTTTTAAACTACAGCAGGACTTGACAGTTTCCGGTACAATAAATTGAGACTTGGGTATTTATAGAGAAAAAGTATTAGGACCTTAGAGCATTAGCATCATTCTATGTAGGGAAGAAAACATAGACTAGAAGCTTTTCCAAAGAAATGATTAAACTATTTAAGTAAATGTGTTAGGCAAATTACATACACTGCCATTAAAAAAAAAAGGCAGCAGTGGAAATACTGCTGTTAGTTGGTGTCTGGCCTCATCCAAAGAATTTAAAATAAGCTCTCACAACAGATTTGCAAAAGAAGCAAAATCATTTTATTTGGAGCAAAGCAGTAGTACAGATTAAAGAGAGATACACCGTCAAGATGGACAGTGGGCCAGGTGAGTGAAGATACTCAGGGCCCCAGGCTACAGCCTAGAGTCTAAGAGAAGGGGCTGGTTTCTAAATGGTTTAATTAGAGTGGTTGTCTATTTTGATTCATAGGGTATATATAATCATTGCTTTGAATGTGCCTTCCCATAATGCATTTGATTTTAATTATATACTCAATTATGCATAAGCGTAAGGGAGTCTCCCTAAAAGGTGACTAGAGGACATAGTTTTGCCTTCCTGTGCATGCACCCAAAACCAGTTTAAGTTGGATGGACCCTTTTATTCATACCTGGATGTGTTGGAAATGTTCTTGAATAGAAATATTCCAAACTTGATACCAGAGGCCAGGAAACTTACACCATTGTTCAAAGATGAGAGTGTGTGCATATAGCTTGATGGCAGTGGCAGGGGCTTGAGGCATCCAAAAGTTGCTAGATGCATTGTTTGGAGAGGGGCATGTGTGCATAGCATGTGCAGTAAAGGAACTAGGCTGCCAAGTACATTTTTTAAGAGAGGGTGCTGTGCATAACCCAGAACCAAATGGGTTTCCAAGCTAAGTTCTCTCTTATGCTTGTCTGCCTCAAAAATGTTTTCAAAACTAGTTACTCAGACATAAACGTCATGTGACATTGAAACCTACAATAAAAGAATGCATGATTTTATTCTCTACGGCAGTCCAGAGCACCAAGTCAAAGTGTTGGTTTGTTTGTTTGAAATTCTGTATATTGGCACAGGGGAGATGGTTCAGTGGTTAAGAATCCTTGCTGCCCTTACAGAGCATCAGGGTTTAGTTCCGAGCATTCAAATCACACAGCTCACAACCACCATTAACTCTATTTCCAAGGGATCTGATGCCCCCTTCTGGCATCCTTGGGCACCTGCATGCACATGGTACACATGAACTCACACAGGTACACACACACACACATATCAAAAAAACTTAAATCTTTGGGGCTTTTTAAATTAATAGCAGCAGCCGGGCATGGTGGTGCATGCTTTTAATCCCAGCACTCAGGAGGCAGAGGCAGGCAGATCTCTGGGAGTTCGAGGCCAGCCTGGTCTCCATAGCGAATCCAGGCCAGCTGGGGCTAGAGGGAGACCCTGTCTCAAAAAGACCAAAAAAAAAAAATTGATATCAGCAAACAAGCTGCAAGAGTTCTGTCATTTAATAGGCCATACATTTGCATTTTTCCTTCATGTTGATGCAAATTCTGCAGTATCTGAGAACGTTTGTTTTAATTTCCTTCCCAATGTCTCTGGTACACCTTCAGCGATCATAATGCCTTTATTTCCTTACCTCTCATTTACAGTAGATTTTACATGAAAGTCATTTCTTGAGACAATTTTTTTTTAGTATTTTATTTTTATTTTATGTGTATGCTGTATTGCCTGCATGTAGGTAAGTGCATCTGTGTCATACAATGCCTATGGAGGACACAAAGGCTGTCAGATCCCCTGGAACTGGAGTTATGGACAGTTGTTAGCTGCCATGTGGGTGCTGGATTTGAACCTGGGTCTTCTGCAAGGTCAGCGTTCTTAACCACTGAGCCATCTCTCCAGCCCGAGACAGAATTTTTAAAAATTATTTTCATATTCTATTATACATTACCTCAATTATTTGAGAAGGTATTTCTGATTCTAAATGTCATGATTATGTCAAATAAGAGTTCACTTATTTTACTCAATTTGTGGATTTTGCTTTCTGTGAAAGTTTACAAATGAGAGTCCCCAAATGAGCTTTTAAAGTTACTTGTGCTCAGTTTTTTAAAAAGCATGTTAATTGGGGCTAGAGAGACTGTTCTTGCAGAAGACCCGGGTTCGAATCCCAGCACCCACATGGCAGCTAATGGCTGTCCGTAACTCCAGTTCCAGGGGATCCCACAGCCTCTTCTGTCGTGTGGGCATTGCACAACACAGGTACACTTACCTGCATGCAGGCAATACACACATACACATAAAATAAATAAAATATTTTAAAAAGCATGTTAATTATGAAGAGATGCTCTTTTCCAAAGCCTGCCACAAAAATTTAAAAATCCTTAATGTGGTTTATTTAGCAAAATTTAAGATAACGTTTATTAGTTTTCATAATGGAAAACAAATGAATTATGTGATATGAGGAAACGAGAAAATTTGTCAGTGCCATCATCGTCAGAAATAAACTCTAATCCATTAAAACTGTATTATCTTTGACTTCTTTTTTTAACCAATGGTTTTTTTTTTAATCTATAATTTAGATATGTAAGTAGGTAGTCTATTTGAGGGAGATGTGTTTGTTAAAAATGAATTGCCATAGAGTCTAATTAACACCAATTCAAATAAAATTAGTTCTATATCATAGCATGGTTAATTTGAGCATTTAAAAGATTATTCAGTGCTTATTGACTTACTCCAGTGTCTAAATTATGTATTGCCTATTAATTTATTCAACTCAGCTGATGGTTTCTCAGTTGATTTCCAGTACCATGAGGCAATCTGCTGACCCAACCATGCCAGTAACCCAAGTTAGCACAGCAAAGACCCTTGCGTCTTAATGGTATTGAAGTCCTGATTGAAATAAAACTGGCTTTAGTTCTCTATGGACTAACATGCTTGTGTGACAATATAACATTTTGAAAATAAGATGGTTTCCATTGACATTTTTATTGGTAAATGTCTTTACCTGTAGAAGTTTTGTAAGTGCCTCAAAAGCAGTGAGCGATTTTTGGAAATGACATTGATCAATAATTCAATAGCTTGAATAAAATAGATTTGTATGCCCGTTGTAACTGTCTAGAAGTACATAGGTATATAAAATTAAAATCATTTAAAATGTTCAGCATCTTGAAATTATTTCCCAGTACCAGATTTCTTAACACATAAAAAACTCATTTCTTTTACAGGTGAAG